GGGCAGCGCCCCGCATATTCTCCTGCTAACCAAGTGAAATCCAGTCAGTGCTCTGATCATTCTCGCAGCGCCAGTCTTCTGACTGATCTCATGGTGAGCAGAATAAGTGAAGAAACAAAGGCAGTTAATATCCTTATGAGCTAAAACATTGAGACCAGCCTCATATGCGTATGGGGTTACATAGATGTGGGTTGGACTTGTCAGTCCAATGCACTGCCCAGATGCTGGCTGTCCCCATGATGCTGCAGAAGATGGTATTCATCAGACCAGGCGCCCTGTTTTCCATGGCTCCAAGGTTCCGGACTAACGCTTCGGGTCAGCATGGACACTCCGAATGACCTGCAGCTCCGTAGCCCCATACGCAGCAGGGCTCGATGCACTATGTGCCGTGACACGTCACTCCTGTGATCACCATCAAAATGATCTGTGCCACAGAGGCCCTTGCATTGGTTTGTAGCAGACAGGACAGCCGACATTTTACATCCTGCATCAACAGCTCCTGGCTACCCAACACCCTGTCGGCGGTTCATGGCTTTTCCCTCCGCAGACCAAGCACTCACCATAGCAGACTATGAGCTCCCCACAAGTCTTGCTCTGGCCCATGTCAAAGTCACTCAGATCTTTATTCCCGCCCATTTATTCTGCATTCAACATGCCGTCTACAAGTAACCATATGGGGTTGGTCGTACTTTTGCTCACTGGTGTGTGTGGAGTGAGGCGCAGGTGAGTTCCTGTGCCTCTGTAGTGAGTGACCTCGTATCACACCCTTCCTGAGAGGCTAAAGCTGATTGTCCGTTTACAGTCCTCTGTTCAGATATCCTGCACAGATCAGCTGCCAGGGCGCTCTGTGCATCACTGAGCCCAGTGCCAGGGCTGCCCATCCGGCTGACCAGACATCGTAAGTGCCGTGCCCGGGTTTACAACACGGCACTCCGCTGCCATCTCCAGAACAATAGAATGGACTCGGGCATCTTGGTAACAGTCCACCCGAGTCACACTATGACAAAGACCCGCTCACTCCATATGAAGGCACAACCTTTTCATTGCAAGCATATTTATCTCACTAAGAGAGGCTAAACATCGCTAATTATGCAAACAAACAAGTCATAAAAAAGCTCCCAGAAAGCAAGTGATGATTCATCCTGTTCATACGTTTTGGTTGAGCACTAACTAGCAACTTATAAAACGAGGTAAACTGACAATCCCGAAAATGGCGATGGTAAGAGTCTCAGAGCAGCTGCCATGAGGCAGCAGAGGGTCGACGGAATCCACATGAACTGAGAAACGTCTCCGAACTGCCAGTGGATGGAAATCAGGGCTATTCACTTTCCAGATTTGCCGCTCTTTATTCCAGCGCCAGCGAGGGGCTTTAAAGAGGTGAGGTCAGCCTCTATAAGGCTTGGCATTAAAGTGCTTCTTTAATGAATTCGGCGCAAGCAACGGCCCTCATGACGTCTCATTGGGGCAGAGGCTGGGCAGACAGCACCTCCTCTGAGCACAGGAGCCAATCAGCTGAAGCCATTTCCCCCTCACCTCAGCCTCCATGTTTATGCACACAGCTGTTCATATAATAGTTTATACAAATAACCGTGCTAATTATCTGTCTTAATATAGCATTGGGGCCACACACCTCTGCTGTCGCACTCTTCTCGCTAAGAGGCGGTTGACTTATTTTTAAACTTGATCTTCCCAGTTGTGAGACATTTTTGCAGAAATTTCTCCTGCCGTGAGGGAGATACTAGCGCGGCAGTGTTACAGGCGTAATGTCTCTGTCAACAGGAATCCATTTAGCAGCATCTCCAGACTCGCGTCATGTCGCATGACATTACCTTAAGATCATATTCAGGAATGAGCAGACGAACAAGGCGGCTGCAGGTGGAGATTCAGCGGCGCTTCAGAGAGACGCGACAGTGATCTACAGGCGCCACGATGTTACGGTTCAATAAACAACGTTATTCACAGACAGTCGTCATGATTCTGGGTGGGGGCGCGTAGAAACCTGAGATGATGCTGTCTCCAGCGGGGGCAAAATGAAAATCAATTGTAATACATCTTCAATTGACTGGGCCGGTTGCAGACGTACACAGACCCACAAAAGTCTACACACATTCACACAAACACATACATATACATATATAAAGACCCCCGCAAGTCTACAAACACACACAGACACGTTAACTCACACACATACACACACAAACCTATGAAAAACCATACACACATAGACAAATACAGAACTGAGAGACAAACACAAACATATTTACATGACTTGCACAGTTCCATAAGCCTACACACACACACACACGCATACAAACACGTTCTTACACACACGCACACACACACACACACACACACAAACACACACACACACAGGCTTGTAATTATATCTTTGTGGGGACTCTCTATTTATTTCTATTGGGAAAACGCTACAGGTGGCTGCCCTTCGCGGACAACTTACTCTACAAAGAGCAAGTTGAGGGAGGCGTAAAAAGAATTTCCCCACGGGATTAATAAAAGTGTCAAGTGTCAATTATATTCACAGAACTTTGTGGGGACCTGAAAAATGGTTCCCAAAAAGTAAAAAAATATATATTTTTATTTTATTGGGGGGGGGGGGGCATTTTGTCCCCACACTGTACTATAAACCGAATCCACACACACACACACACACACAGTGTGTTTCCAGGGATGTCTCTCCACTCGTGTCAGTCTCCCTATCGATCTTCACTTGAGTGCAGTGCATTCTGCACCACAGACACCAGATTAATGACTGACACCAAACAAGTTGTTTTACTGTCTTGTTCCTTGAAAAAAGCGTTTCCCTGGTACTTGCAGGTCAGACGACAGATGGGAGCCCTCTGGCAGGTCCTGGATCAGCCCTGCTGGTACCGACCCAGTGGGACATGGCCATCCAGGGCAAGGCTTATCAGAAAGATGAAATTATAACAAAACAAGCTCATTTTTTTTTACTTGCTTTCGATCTTATATAAATTCACAGTTTCAAATTTATTTCACTTCAACTTGCAGGTCTGTTAGTTCCTGTCTCGCATGCAGTATGATTTTCCGGAAAGCTCTTTAAGCTCCCCTCACAGTGTCCCCTGTCCTCATCCCCTCCCTCCAAGGTTTTCCAGTCCCCACCATGTTCCATTAACATCAAATGGGTGGGGCTCCCTTGCAATGGGACACGCGATTACCTCCCATCACACCTCAAGCCATCCTCCTCCCCAAAGAAATAAGACAAAGAAAGAAATGGGAAGGCTGTGCAATGCAATCAGTTAACTATGGGGGGGGGGGGGGGGGCATCTGCCTCTCAGACACACGGCTTTCGGGCTCATCCCGGGTGGGGCAGGGACTACAAGAGTCAGCTGAGGCTTGCAAATTTCACTGTGCTCAAAAATGGCTGCCACGCATTCAGAACCACAAATGCGAGTCTTCAAGAATGGCAGGCCCGTACTTTCCATAACTTACAAACAGGAGGCAATCCCTGGGGCTTGGCTGTCCAGTCGCAGGCAACAGGAGAGCGGCTTGCACAGAAGGTGCCCGTAACACCAGCCACAACAAAACCGCCATGCTCACGTTATCCGGGGGTCCGCAAAGTCAATTATTTCTTGAGACATTAATCGCAGTGCCCAGGAAGCGTGCTTTGTCAGGCTGGATTTCCATCATAAAGGAGGACGGATGACAAGGCGCGGGGCAGCTTTGTTCCAAAAGGTCGCGCGTTCTTATTAGTAAAGCGAGAAGGCATTCATTTCTGCCAGTTTGATCTTCCTTTACCCATTAATGTATTCCTTGGGAGCACTGGAGGGGGCCTGCCTGTTTCATAATCACGCGTTAAACTTGGTAAGCGGGCGCTAAGGGCCGCTCTGTGCGTGACTGGCGCGTCTGGCATATCACACGGAGAAATGCCGCAGATTTCTCTGTCCTAACAAGCCGCCGGCTCGCTGGTGCCTCCTGTTTGTGGCCTGATTTGCTATGCTTAAGGAAATGCTGATTTTTCACCTCTGATTTCCAGGTGCCCTCTCTGATTTCATAGATCTTACCACGGGATTTTCATATTTTAGGTCTGATTTCAGAGATGTTGCCCCCCTGCTTCTGAAAAGCTCCTTCACAAAAACACCAAAGCTTACATAACCATGACAGCTAACACCACAGACTTCACCAGGAGAAGCAGTGTAAAGATGGATGGATGGATGGATGGATGGAAGAAAACAGCCACTTACACCTGTTCTTCAGTACGTGATCCTGAAGTGAACAGAATTATAACTGAGCATGTGACTGTTTTGCTGTGGCTGACGAGCATCAGGCTCACTTACAGCAAAGGCCAGACCCTGGATATCACTTTTTCTCCCTTCTAATGAAGGAGGCCCCAGAATACAGTTAGTTATCTTTTTATCACGGATTTCCAAATGTACTTGGGAGGGCTATGCTTTATCATGCCGGTGTTATTGACCCATTAAGGATAATGGGGTCCTGAGCCCCTCCAGGACAATATGAAAGCACACGTTCCCGCTCCCTTCTTGGGATGGGACAACCCTATAAAGAGGATGACTCCTCTCCAAGGAGGTGTCCTGCTTCAGAGCTTAAAATAACATATCTGAGGGAGCTGCTGGAGCAACAAGACATGCTCTCGCTCCTCGTGGTGCCAGCGGGATGAAGGAATCTCGCCCACGGTGGGGAGACGCGTCAACCGACGGCACAACGAAGGCCTGCCTGCGGAAAGCCCCGCCCAGGAGAAGGCGGAGCTTGACTCGCATGCCGTATCTGGGTAATATAAGGTGGGTCGAGGTAGGAGTTGGGATTGAGAAGCAGGTCAATCCGTCTGTGTCGCAGGGCCCCCCAGCCCATGTACGTTAATCTTGTAAGGAGAGTGGGGGGCAATTACCTGCTCACACCAGGCTCAAAAAAAGCTTTTCATTTGACTCTCGCCATCGGATTACAAAGAATCACAGTTATATGTAGAAAAACAATTTTGAGACGATAAATTAAGAGGCCAAACTTACAGCTCGAAGATCTGGAGGTTCTGGAATAGCTGCCAGGAAAGCGTGACGAGTGGGTTTTTCGACAGGTTTCTGCGAAGAGAAAGAGAGGGAGGAGAAATTAAATAGTCCAGGCCTCAGCCTGACAGGAGGACGATGTGGAAACCAGCAAGAACAAGTGCGGCTGCATAGCTGCAGGGGAGCGAAAGGGAGCACAAACTCAATAAGGAAACTCTGTAATCTTCAGGACAAAACAAATTTAATACAAAGACCCAAAGCCTAAGGTCTTAAAAGCTGCTAAATTTAATACAGACAGACCTTTAGGGTCAGAAACCAAAATAACAGCTCAAGAGTGTCCATCACTCTTAAAGCAGATGCTAATCGCGATCAGTCCCTTCCAGAAGGAGAAGTCCATCCTCAGCTGCTTCTCATACTGTTTTTGCTGCATCGGGGCGAGGTAGCCTGCATGGAGACGCAGTTTAGGGTAAGCATGCTGCGAGCTTGCCATCATATGTGAATGCGTCTCTGCCAACGAGCGCATTACGCACACGGGGTCAGGGACCTGAGCTCGCCGGGGGCCGAAACATGAAACTGGGGGGCCGACCAACAGCACTCCTTATCGACATTTACTGAATCCTCCAGATCACTTAATACCGCGACACCCAGCCCTGTTAGATTCTATCAGTGTCGCCTGACAGATAATCAATGGCTTCCATTATCTTTTATTATGCTTCATTCCGCCCTGGGGATGACTGGCTTCTGGTGCCTACGACCCACCCTGCTGTCGGCCGCGGTGCCAGGCCTGACCAGCGCATACGCCGTCCTGGAACCCGAGCCTCTGAGGGCGCACTTAATAGTGCCGGGCTCCTGTGCTCGGGGCTCCGATTTCAGACTTTTAGACGGGGACAGAGATTAGGCAGATTATAGATGAGTCTGCGCAGGCAGCAGATGGACCTGCCTCACCTCCACACCTCCCCAGGATGGCTATCACCTCTCACTGCGCTTTGCTATTATCCATCGTCGGGTCTGAGTGCCACACACTCCAGGACCCCACCAAGGCAGTGGCCGCATCCCTTGAGGCTGACACACCCCTTAGCCAGGCTACCTCAAGCCCCCATCCCTACACAGTCACCCCTTCAGCAGCTGCTCTAACGAAGGGCCCGAGTCGTAAGCCCCTGCCTACACACCCCTTAGCGCTGGCCAAGCAGTGACCCTGTTGCATCACCGTCAAGCCATCGGTCCCTCAGAGGCCACCAGGATCACTGCAGTGAGCTATAAGAACGTTCACTCACAGGCCTACGGAGATCTCTGGCCTTTTTTGGGCCCAAGCTGATTGGTCAGAGTATGCCCATTCCAGGCTGAGCTTTGCCATCTAGCCCTCTGTTTACGCGTGACGTGGCAAATGTGGGCGTGGCGGGTCTGTTTCCATGGCAACCGGGGTCTGAGGTCACGTGAACTTTAGTCTGTCCTGTGACATGGGTGCTGGTGGAGGCATCGCTGTGGAGCTCCAGCTGAGGTCATGGCACAGGAGAACGTGAGCCTCACAAAAGGCTGCAAAACCAGGCCCGCAAACTCAGCAGAGTGACAGACAGCATTGCGGCAAACGTGATCCATTCGGGGGTGTCCCCACCCCGGCTGCCAGTGCCAACACACAAACAGCACTTCCAGCTGTAAATTTATTCTCCCAAGCTGTCCTAGAACTAATCCTATCACGTCATGAAAAGTAGCTAGGAGAGACACTGTTCAACAAGAGAAAGAGAAAAACATCAATCTTTTCAAATGGAAGTTTAATGTCTATGGAAAATCTTTAGCTATAACTATGCTAATTAACTAGGGTCACCTCACACCTCTTGGATCCAGGGTTTGAGGCTCAACTAGGCTGTGGAGTTTGCATGTTCTCCTCCCAGGACTCTGGTTTCCCCCACAGTCCAAAAACATGATGAAGCCAACTGGAGTTACATAATTACCCATAGGTGTGTGTGTGAGAGTGAATGGTGTGTGTACAGAAAATGGATGGATGGATGGATGGTTAGGTAGATGGATGGTTAACTGAACCCTGTAATGTCTTCTCATCAGTGTCAGATAAACTAGTGACGAATCCTGTTAAAAAAAACACAAAAACAAACCTTCTGCTGAAGCACAGAATTCTTAACAGAAGCGTAAACCACACTCTCCTGATGATGAGGGAATGAGGGAATTACAATATCCGAGCATTACTGGAAAGTCAGCTGGAACGGCACATCAGTTACACCAGCAGGAGATACAGGGTGGGGGGGGGGGATAACCGGGGGGGGGGGGGGGGGGGGGGGGGGGGGGGGGGGGGGGGGGGATGGATGGGGAGGGGGCATGATGAGGGGATGGCGGGAGATGGGGAGATGGCGAAGGAATCACGGGGGATGGGGCATGGTGACGGGATGGGGGGGATGAGGAGATGGTGAGGGGATAGCAAGGGAAGTGGCCGGGGGGAATGGAAGGGGATATAGTGGTGACGGAGGGATGTGGCATTGCACGGACTTGCAGGAAGTGTCCTTTCCAAAGGTCACCCACCACCATCACAGCTGGGAGAAATGTCAGCTAAAATTGGGCCGAGGGTAAAAGGCAAAGCAAACAAATAAACAGGGAAAAAGGAAAGCCGTCCATCAAGCAGAAGAGTGGCCTTAAGACGAGGGGGCATGCCATTAATAAACAGAGAGGAGGGCGGCAAGCAGGTGGTAATCATGGAGAGCGTGGGGGCTTGCAGACATTGCGTCATCACGCCTCCAGTGAACTTTAACATCGCTTAGTTCTGTGCTCACTGTTTATTTTAAGCAAAAACAGAGACAGATCCTCAGGTGCTCACTGCCCTGATCTGGTTCTGTCATATCGGACCCGCCAGTCAAATATATATTAGTCGTGCCATCCCAAGTCAGTTTGAAAACCTCACGCCCTGTTTACAGCTTACAAGGACACCTGCAGCATAGAGCTGCATGAGGCTTTGCGGCTAAGGGGTAGATCATAACTTATAAGACGTGGGCGGAAGCAGGACAGAATATGATAAGCTACTGCGGGAGCCTGACAGAGTCTTGCAGGTGCAGACGGGAGAGGGATTTAAAATTCTGTCCCATGCAGACCTCTACCTGGACAATGGGGGATAAAGGCCAAACTAGGGGCCAATGGTGGAATCACTCTGACGACAGAGGTATCTGAACCGATAACCTTGCGGTCATAGGAACGGCACCCTAACCTACTGAGCCACACAAAACCCCTCCACAGATAATCTGTACATGCATATTATACTGAATATTATTTAGATATTATTATTTAGACTTCTACCCATCAGTGTAAATGCGAGTTAAAAACTTAAAGGCTGATGGCTAAGGATGCGCACCAAGCATGGAGATTTCGCCCACAGCCAAAGGTACGTCGGCTCACACCAACTGGGAAGCCCAGGTCCGCCCACTTGAGCCCCGCCCACCTGCGCCTATCCACCCAAGCCCTACCTGCCCGGGCCTCGCCCCTTGATGCCAATCCCTTAACGCTGGCATGTTTGCTCGTTGACAGCTTTCCCTGAGATGCATGCTGGCACGGACACGCGGCGAGCATTTGGCACCTCCAGGGGGGATCATCCTTTGTATTGGAACGCCTGAAGCACGCTAATTTGTAATGGCACAGTTGGCGCAGTGGCGTCGTCTGCGCAAATCTGAGCGGCAGACAGGCTGCTGTGGGCCAAAGCCAAATGATGGCTCCAGGCCCCAGTGGCCATCCACAACAGACCAGCACTGCCGACCCCAACAGCCCCCACACATGGGTGCAACATGGGGGCCTCGGGGGGCACAAGCCACTCCCACAGTCCCTCGCCTTGCCTCCTAAGGGGCGATGCTGTTCATCAGTGAACGGCGGTAGGGGTCACTCCTCGCGAACGGCGGTAGGGGTCACTCCTCGCGAACGGCGGTAGGGGTCACTCCTCGCGAACGGCGGTAGGGGTCACTCCTCGCTAAGACTTGGAAGACTCAAACTCAGGCGTCCAAATGCATAGTCAGCGGGATCTGGATGAACAGGTCTAATCTGAAGCCCAAGATCCGCAGGTCAAAACCAGCTCCATAGTGCAGCAGGGGGCTTTAGAGCACAGAGGCCCAGAAATCACCCTCAGACTGATCAGGGGACATACAAGGGGTGTGTCCAAAATTCAAGAGAGGCCGGGCGTGATCTGGATGGGCGTGGCTGGATGGGCGTGGCTGGATGGGCATGGCTGGATGGGCGTGGCTGGATGGAGTGCTGACTGGCTGCTGACAGAAAATTCAAACAGGCCTCAGTATGGTCCCCATGTCACATGCACCAGGTGGTGGACTGGTAAGAGGTACAGAGCAGCTTAAGCTTCATAAGCAGCCCCATTGTCGAATTCTTAAGCACATAACCTGGACTGGCCCGGGAAAATATTTACACAGCAAATGGATCAAACAGTAAAGCACTTTAGGAAAGCATGTGACAGTGATACACCACTATAAGAATTCATTCCAAAAACAGTCACTCCCAAACAAATTCATAGCATTTTTTTTCATGCAACATTGTACTAAGCAGATGAGAATAATCCCTCACAATATGCAGGGGCCCCATATGGAGGAAATTAGGACAATTTGAATGACAGGGGCCCTAAAAACTTTGGAAAATAACTGGATTGGTCTGGACTGGGGGACCCAATATGATGTTCTTTCATGGGGCACAAAATCTTTAGCAACGCCCTTGACAGAATTCTCACATTATTTTCACATAAAAGCCATGGTCACGTTATGCAGTGCAACCTGGAAGGTCACCCTGTATACAGCCCGGCAGGCCGCCTTCTCATTCCCCAGGCCCTAGGGGAGTAAATCAGCCTGGCAGGCCACCTCCTCATTCCGCAGGGACTAGGGAATCAGTCCGACAGGCCGCCTCCTCATTCCCTAGGGCCTATGGGAGTAAATCGGCCTGGCAGGCCGCCTCCTCATTCCCTAGGGCCTGGGGGAGTAAATCGGCCCGGCAGGCCGCCTCCTCATTCCCCCGGGCCTGGGGGGGTA